TCCAGGTTTGCTAAAGTTGAGTTTTTGCGAAAAAAGTTGAGTTTGCGAAAAATTCAGTTTGCAAAAATACCAAGTTTTGCGAAAAGGCTTCGTTTTACGAAACTAAGGTTTGCGAAAAACTTAGTTTTGGCAGTAGTACACGGCCCAACCAAGTTTGTACAGCAGTGTCACTCAAAAATAAGTTGGTACCCCAGACTCATTGTACTAAATCTCAAACACGTGTGGGACTTTGAAGACTTCTGAGATCACTCAGGGTTTTTCTAGGGATAAACAATTTTCGGTTGGGTGTTTTTTAGTACTCCCTCCGTCCCAAAAACAACTTCCCACTTTCCTTAAATGGATGTCCCAAAATTAACTTCACACTTCAATACTTTCCTTATTTGGCAAATTATCTACATCAAAAAAGTGATAAACAGCGCCAAACAGTGTTTAAACAGTGTCAAACAGTGCCAAACAGTGTTTAAACAGTGCCAAACAGTGTTTAAACAGTGCAAAACAGTGCACTCTACAGTAAAGTCAAATTTATTTTCTAAAAGTGTGTGAAAGTCCAACTGGGAAGTTGTTTTCGGGACGGAGGGAGTAATTTTTTGTTCTCTTCGCTTTCGGTTATTTTTTTCTTTTTCTTTTGTACCCTTTCTGGCTTATATTAATAAAATTCCTTTCTCTTCGCTTTCGGTTACAATATATAATGTACACACACACACGCACTCACACACAAATATTCCTGTCCGGAAATTCCGGACAGGACTGCCGTCCGGACATCTCATTTTAAGGCGGTTCCCGGTGGAATTTTTTTATGAAATTTTATGAGCATGTTCTCCAATAAGTTTAGATTATGTCCACAAAGTTTCAGCTAAAAATTCAATCAGGAAATCAATTAAATAAAATTTTGAAAGTAACTGTGTTTTTTACATATATTTTGGCGCAGTTATCTTCAAAGCTTACTTGACTTCCAGATTGATTTTTTAGCTGAAATTTTGTGGACATAATCTACCCTTTATGGAGAAAATGCTCCCAAAATTTCATCAAAAAATTCCACTGGGAACCACCTCAAAATGAGGTGGCGGGACGGCGCTCCGGTCAGGAAATTCCTGACCGGGAAGATTACTCCCTCTCTCTCTATATATGTGTATATATATACTAGCTGACCTCAAAATCTTTTAAGACTAAAGCTTGGATGTTGTTGAATCAGATTATTAAGAGAGCGAATGAACTTGGTGAGGATCCAATAGGTTTGAGTGGTCGGTTTTGTCAAGAATTTCTTAATGACATGGTTGATCTCAACTGCCTCATGCCCACCCATCAGCCACGTGTTACAGAGCATATGGATCAAATAAAGGAAATGATAGGACAGGTAACTTACTTTTCACATGCTTTTTCTCTCATGTTTATGTTGTTTTTCATTTTTCTGTGATTGGCAATTTGGCCATGATGAAGCTATTAGAGGGTCTAGCACTTGGGTTGTTTCTGTTCTAGCCAATGAGGTAATACACTCTATCAGCAATATGAGTGAGCTGAAGCTACTCTGCACGCGTTTTCAACTTGTTTTGATGTGCACAGTTAATCTCTTTGGTTTTACTTTGAGCAATGTTAATTTGGGGTGTGATATGATGGTAGTTAAATATGGACAGCAATTATTATTTCCATATATAAATTTTGAGGATGATGAACAAATAATCAGTACTTAAGTACTTATCATTGGCGTATATGAAGGGAAAGGAAAGATGAAATAGTTTTGTATTGCAGCTTAAATTTTTATGGTATGTGCTTTATGTCTGATTACTTCTATGCTCAAACTATAAAAATGCCATTTGCAGATAATAAACAATGGGTGTGCTTACCCAGTTGATGGTGATGTGTATTTCTCTGTTGATAGTTTTCCAGAGTATGGCAAATTATCTGGACGGAAACTAGAAGATAACCGAGCTGGTGAACGAGTTGCTGTTGATTCTAGGAAGAGAAATCCAGCTGACTTTGCCTTATGGAAGGTGTGGAGATTTTATGAATTCACAACTATAGCTACTTTTATTGATTGTATATGCTTTAAAATTGTTTCCCCTTCTCCCAGGCAGCGAAGCCTGGTGAACCAAGTTGGGAAAGCCCATGGGGTCATGGAAGGCCAGGGTGGCATATAGAATGCAGTGCTATGAGTTCTCATTATTTAACTCACACATTTGATATTCATGGTGGTGGTATGGATTTGATATTTCCTCATCATGAAAATGAGATTGCTCAAAGCTGTGCTGCCTGCCCTGACAGTAAAGTGAACTATTGGATGCACAATGGATTTGTTACTGCAAACGATGAAAAAATGTCAAAATCAGTTGGAAATTTCTTCACAATCCGTGAGGTATTTATGTGGTTATTTATAAACAATTTATAACCTCGATTTTTTCTAACAGGGATTTTTTCTTTAGAATTATTAGAATATAACTAGTGGGTATGACACTATGACTACGTGGCCTTTAGTCACTGCTAAACTATCAACATGTTCACCATACTGTAAAAGTGATCATCACCCTAATATCTACAGTCACTATCTATATTCACAGCACGTAACAGGCAAATTTGTCCATTGTTTTTGTTTTAGTCATATATTTGTCATGATCTCTATGGTAACTATAGTAAAATTGTAAATAGGTCTACAATCGCTATATTAATTGTGGGTTAAAGGCACGTTTTGTGCATTATTTTTATTTCAGTCATATATCTGCCATGATTTCTATTATTAGTTATTTCTTAATTAAGGTCAGAGTAATTTTGGATTGTTTTGCATCTCATTTTGGAAGGTTACCAAGCTTTACCATCCCCTTGCCTTGAGATATTTCCTGATGGGGACACACTACCGTTCTCCTGTCAATTACGCGATTTCACAGATAGAAATTGCTTCAGAATCTGTGTTCTATATATACCAGGTAAGGAAATACTTTTGACAGCCTGGATTATGTCAAAGTGGGACTCATTTATGTGTATCCTATGTTCCTATCCCCACTTCTGTATATTGCTTCCCTCTTGACTTTTGATTTTCATTTTGTGCTCTAGACCTTGCAAGATTGTAAAGAAGCCACTTCAAAGATGCAAAATGGTGTTGATACAAGCGGTGGTAATAAAGCAGGCCATCTTTGTTCAAGCGATGCTAAAAAGTGCATAGAAAAACTGCGTAATGAGTTTGAGTCAAGACTCTCTGATGATTTACACACACCTTCTATATTAAATGCTGCTCTTCAAGAAGTCTTGAGAGTCATGAATGGTGGTTCATTGAACACGCTGAAGGTTAAAACCAGAAGTGTTGCTTCTTTATGTTATTTTGTTTTTCTGACATCGTATTGAGGATATTCTATGGTAATTGGGCGTTTCCCTAAAATATAACCAAAATTGAACTTGTGGACAAAAATTGATTATATGGTCCCTATAGTCAATGCAAAAATATCACCATTTTCACGGTTTAAAATTGAACATTAGTAAGGTCTCTACGCTCGCTGGTATATAGCACTATGGTCACTGCTTATTAAAAGTCATATGTTGTCATTTCTTTTTATTGTAGTACTATATTTGTCATTTTCTCTGATAATTATAGTAATGAATTCACAGAAGCAGAAAAAGCAACAGCAACAACAACTTTTGTATGATGATATTATGGACTTGGAGAAAGAAGTGAGGACAGTGCTGGATGTTCTGGGATTGCTATCCAGTTTAAGCTATTGTGAGGTGCACCCTCTGAACCCATTGTGCTTGTCACATGCGGGGTTGTGTTGCACGGGACCCACTCATGATGACATCCTCCTGACTTATTTGTTCCTTTTTTTTTTAACAGGTATTGCAGCAACTTAAAGAAAAAGCACTGAAAAGAGCAGAATTGACAGAGGAAGATATTCTGAAGTCAATTGGCGATAGAGCAAAAGCAAGGGAAGAGAAGGACTACGGTAAAAGCGATCAGATAAGGAAAGATTTGGCCTTAAAGGGCATTGCCTTAATGGATGTTGGTAATAATGAAACAATTTGGAGGCCTTGCGTACGACTAGAAGAAAGCAGTGCACAGCCTGCTGCTACAATACCTACACGAGAGAAAGCAAGTGTGCAGCCTCAACAAGATTAGGCCCTTACCAACCGCAGATGACAACACCTTTTTTGGTATCGTTGTGATGTGTTATGAATGAATGGTTTATTAGATAATTTATGACTAGATGCCGTATATATTATACTCCGTATATACTCTGTTATTTGATTTGAGGTTTTTCCCTTTTTTGTTGAGGCGGTTAAATGTATGGCTTAGACAAATTTAAAAGGAATTTGAACTTGTAGAAACTGAAGAAATTCAAGGGGCTTTTGTTTTACAGCTAGGCATGGACACAAACATGGTTCGTGGTCGAGACCATCTGTTTTAAGAAGAAATTGAACCTGTTGATCGGACCTGAACCAAAACTGATAACTGCTTATTTTCCAATCGGTTTCCTACAAAATACGACTGCTGTTTACCTTATTTTTTTTTAAAGATTACTGATCTATTAGGAAATGAATCAGACCAGAATCAGATCTAGAACCATTGATCTGGAACTTGACTTGTTCTGATCACTACAAGTCTACAATACTATATTATGGGGGCCAGAAGTCCTAAATCGGCTCATGTCTATCCCTTTTTACAAAACTAGGACCATAACCGATTATGCCTAATAGACTAATAGTTTAGGGATGAGAAAATTGTCTAATAGGTCCTTGTACTTTTACTAAAAAGTCAGTTGAGTCCTCGTACTTTTATGTCCATCAATCAAGTCTCCCAAGTATTAAGAAACAATCAAATTAGCTATTTCATAGGTAAACTTCTGGTCTCCTGGTTGATGGGCTTATGTGGATGTCCATGTGTATTTTTTTTTATTTTTTTCTTTCTCTTTTTCCTTTTCTCTTTCCTCCTTGCTTTCTCTTTTTTCCTCTCCCTGTCGCACCTTTCTCTTTTTTCCTCTCCCTGTCGCACCTTTCTCGCGTTTCCATTCCCCTTGGCCCTTCACCAGTTCCACCTCCCACCACCTTCCCCATTTCTTTATTTTCGCCGCCGCCTACATATCCACCACCTTTGTAGCTCCATGGCTTCCATGTAGCTCAACCAACCTCTAGTGGTGACCTCTGCCACCCGACTTCCGCAGACCGTAGTCACACATGAAAGTTTTGAGATAGAATCGGAGTTGCCATGAAATTCTATAGGGCTAAGGAAACAAAAGGTATTGTACTATTTCAGCCATTAGTGTTAACAAATTAAATATAACTCCTTTAATAAGAAATTTTCACATTATACTTATATCTAGACCCATATTATTGAGATTTCTCCCATTAAGAGTGGAATTTGAATCACTCACTTCCATGATGCCTCCGCAGAGTTGGTGATTTAGGAAATAGGGGTGGTGGAGGTGGAGGCCATAAAGATGGTGGCTATGGAGGCCGGTCTGCGGAGCTCACCCAATGGTAGTGACGGTGGCGGTGGCGGCGGAAGTGAAGGCCATGGAGGTGGTGAGGGGCGGCAAAAATGGAGGAATGGGGTGGCTGGTTGGCAGTGGAGGCAATGAAATGCTGGAGGGGGTTGAAATTACAGAGAAAAGAGCGGGCTGCGGACAAAGAGAAAAGAGAAGGAAGAAAGAGAAAAAAGTGAAGAAAGAAAGAAAGAAAAAGGGAAAATGGAGGAAAATACTCGTACGTAACAGTAGAAAAATTGCCAATTGGACATCAACATGGGCCATCAACTTGGAAACCGGATATGTACCTACAAAATATCTAATTTGACTCTTTTTTTAATACTTTGAGGATTTAATTGACCAGTTTAAAGGTAAGATGACTCAATTGACCTTTTCTTTATTTTATTATAAAAATACATGAATCTATTTGACAGTTTTCCTTTAGGGATCTTTCGCCAATGTTCTGTCATTATTCATTTCCTTGCCTTTGGTTAAGAAATAATAGCACGTGGATGCATATTAAGAACTTCATTCGTTCCAAAAAGCTATTTATTAAGGCATGGGACTTGGAATTTTAAGTCCTAGAATAGGAATTTTAAAACAAAATTTGAGAATGGGAAGTTAATTATAGGGTTCTAGTTTTCTTCTATCAGATATTTAGATATATAGGATCAAAATAGGTGGCTACAATTTAAGAACTGAAACAGAAATACCATCATATTATTATGAAATTGTTATAGATTCAATGTATTTGGTGGCCTTGGCCCTTAAGTGCCAGAATCTAAACTAGATACAATCATACAAATAATACAATCATACAAAGTTGCCCATTTTAGTTGATCGAATTAAGAGGGTTTTGGTTTGAGTTCTTGTTTGTGAAAACTGAAACTCGAACGAAGTGACTGAATTTAGCAGGCTAATTTCCCTGAAAGTGGTTTACTAAAAAAATGATAACTTTGTATTGCTCTGAATATTGAGAGCATACATTATTCAAAAGAAGCAATTAATGGTAACATACTACTAACATCTAGAAATAAACTTCCCGTGATGAACTTTTTGAAAATGTAACATTAGTTTTTTTTTAAAAAAATCAAATAACTAAATTATTATTAAAAGATACCAAAGATACAAGAGAATGAATAATCTAAAGCCACAATAAGATAGAGACATAAAACGGAAAAGATTCATTGAATACTTCAAGATTGCGAACCCCACAATAATGTCTAATAGCCTTGCGGCTCTTCTTGTTACTCCAAAGAGAATAAAAAACTACGACTAAAAGATTCAGCTTCATCAGCCACCAGAAAGGGAGAATTGGTTTGATCAGCAACCAACAAAAGAGTAGAAAATTTCTGGATCATCAGTTTGACCAGCCACCAGAAGGAGATCAAGTTGGACGTTGTCCTTTTCTTCAAGCGAGGTGGTGGTTCAGAAGGAGGGCGAACAATTGAAGATTCAAAAAAACGAGGTTGAAACTGAGAAAAGAAAAAGAGAACCACATATTCAGATCACAAGCCCAACCTCTGTTCCATAAAGCAAACTGTCAAGAGGAATCCAGACCGGTGCCACACGTCACCTAGGGTTCTCTCATCGCTTCAGGAGCTCCAAGAAGCAGAGGGTTTTTCATCGTCCATCTTACATTGTACTAATACACAAATATGTAACATCAGTTTTAATAATGGCTAACACGATTTAAAATTTATGGTTAGAGATAGGGGTGGACTCGGGCCAGTCGGCCCGACCCGGGACCGGCCCAGCCCGGTCACTGTTTGGCCCGGCCCGGCCCGTGGCCCGGTGGGTCCACCGGTTCGGTTTGGCCCGGCCCGGGTGCTGGGCGGTCCGGGCTCGGGCCCAGCTTTTGGTGAACCGGCCCGGCCGGTTCGGGCCCGGTCCGGGCCGGATTTTTTTTTTTTTTTTAAATTTGTTTAAGTTTTAGGTTGGATTAGGTATTTTGGGCCATTTGAGGTGGTTTGGGATGGTTTGGGGTTGAGGGGGAGGGGTAGGGGGTTTAATAGGACCGGGCCGGTTGGCCCGGCCCGGCCCGGTTTGGCCCGGAACCGGAACCGGCCACCGGCGGTTCGGGCTCGGGCCTAGATTTTCTGAACCGCGAACCGGCCGGGCCCAGGCCCGAACCGGCCCGAGTCCACCCCTAGTTAGAGATGGTAGTTCAACGAGCGTTATTGTGTCTTTTCTAGGGTTTTGAGATTTCTAAAGTTTGAATTTTGATGGAAGTGTTTGACGATTGCGATAATCAAATGTGGTTCAAATTATTTGATAATAGCTTCTCATCTATATATGTGGATGATTTTGTCGAGCATTTGATTGGGACTTTGGAACGAAGAAACAAGAGAAAATTGTCAAATTGGTCACGTACTATATTGAAAAAGTCAATTGAGTCCCCGTACTATTAAATCATTCAATCAAATCCTCCAAGTATAGTAAAACAATCAATTTGGTATTCAATCGGAAAACAACCGGTTAAGACTTAAGAGGAACTTAAGATCCAGGTGGCAAATTTTTCATTTTTTGTTTCCTTCTCTTTTGCTGTCCTCTTCCCTTGGTTGTCTTCTTCCGCCAAGCCCCAAGTCTGCAACATCCTTTGATTTTTCTTTGTTCCCTATTTCCTTCTTTCTTTCTTCCTTAGCTTCCACCCTATCCAATCAAAACAAGCTTGCCATACCTCATATCCGGAACTTCAGCGAGTACAGAGGGGTAATGTAAGCGACGGCATAGGGCTGGGCGGGGGCCACTGCGAAATCGCCGGAGGTCTTGGGCCTTCTCCCGCCGGAGGTTGTTGAAGTTCTCCATCGGATCCGCAAGTTTACTGTTCTCCTTCGGAGGTTGTCTCAGTAATCATTCACCACCGCCCAGTGTAGGCCGTCGTCCATACTGAAAGGGAAGAAATGAGGGGAAAGAGGTATTTGTCCAGTTGGTTGCTTGGCCGAAGAACAAAGTCAATGAAAGAGAAGAGAGAAAGAAAAGAAAAGAAAAGAAAGAAAGAAAGAGTTGCAGGCTTACGACTGAAGCACAGATGAAGAAAGAAAATCACCAGTGGGCGTAGCTCAACTGGTAGCGAGTGAGTGCCACAAGGGTTAGGTCTCGGGTTCGAATCCCGGCAACTACGATGAGGGGTTACTATGCTGAAAAATGCACAGGGCTTCTGCAAGTACCGGGGACAAAGCCCCACTCTCTATCTGTCAGATTGTGATTATAGTCTAATTCACATCCTCCCATCGTGCCGTTCGGTCGGTGTTGGGGGGCCCTCAGGGATGGGGTGTCATCCTTTTTTTTAAGAAAAAAAGAAAAAAAAAAACAAAATGCCACATGGGTGCCAACTCAGCTATGACCAGTGAAATGTTTTAGCCAACCGGTTAAAAATCAAAATTGAGTCTTTTTTTGTAGTTGGAGGATCTAATTGAGTGATTTAATAGTACAGGAACTCAATTGACTTTTTCGATATAGTACGGGGACCTATTTGACAGTTTTCCCAAGAAACAAATGTGGACCTGCTCTTCATAATTAGTGTCATCACAATTGACTATTAGAGTTTTATGTTTCACACCCCCACCCTCTTCTGTGAGGTGCAAAGAATGTGATGCCCTTTTTATAACACATACAAAGAGTTGTATTCTTGAAGGAGTCCGGATGATGGGTTGAACTTATGGCAAGGGTATTTTAAGAGACTCATGCCATTCCTGTTTTTGTTAGCACCGAGCGATCCCTTGTTTTATTATGGGTTGAACTTATGGCAAGACTATTTTAAGAGACTCATGTTATTCCTTTTTTGTCAGCACCGGGCGATCCCTTTTTTTGTTAGCACCAGGCGATCCTTTTTTGTTAGCACCAAGCAATCCTTTTTTTTTGTTAGCACCGGGCGATCCTTTTTTTTTTTGTTAGCACCAGGTGATCCTTTTTTTGTTAGCACCTAGACTAAACCTAGGCTCCTAAGAACCCACCCCAACCCTTGAGAGATCTAAATTCAAGTCACTTGAATTATTGGTTTGGTTCGGTATTTGTACATAATCACACACAAGAAATCGCTCTTATTTCCCAGTATAATACATTTGAGAATTGTCATTGATTGGTCAAACATCATTAGGATCCCAGCACTAAGCTAACTTCTACATGCCACCCTGATTGCTCGACTACTGATTGCTCGATTACTTGAACTAGATCCAGGGAGTTAGAGGATTTTCATTTGAGAAAATCCTCCCAAATTCACCTTCTTGGAGTCCTATAAAAATTGACAAAGAAACATTAGCAGTAAATATATATTAGAGCTGGCCACAAATCAAATACTCCGTATTAAGCAAAAGAATCAATCCCACTTTTGGTCTTATAAGTTTTATGTCAATTCCACATCTAGTCCACATTTTTCACTTTGTCCACTTTTGGTATTTGATTAATGTTTTTAATCATTTGTGGTCCTTTTTCGGCGATTTTAACCACCGAAAACATTGCCGGAAGGACCATATATGGGCGAAAACACAATTGTCATGTATCAAAAGTGGACAAAGTTAAAAATGTGGACTAAATATGGAATTGACCTACAACTCGTAGGACCAAAAATGGAATTTATTCTTTAAGTAAAACAACTAGTTATGCATCTAAAGACATAATACATGTTCTCCTTCGACATGTATGGATTAATGATGTTTGTCTTACATGCGTAGATCAAGGGGAGAATGTTATGATTACATGTGATTTCCTTAGCTAGCTATGTGAGGTGTGATAGTACGAATAATACGATAATTTGTTTCATTGATGATTCTACTATCTGGATGCACACTAACGATTACTCCGTTTTAATTACACATTTGATAAACAGTACTCCGTATAAGTATTTGACTTTCAAGTCGATGACTACTCATAATTTCATAAACAAGTTTTGATTATAAAATACGTAGTATTATTTATACAGTTTCTATTTATAAAGTACATTAAATGTTCAGGCAACCGTACAAATTCAGACAAAAAACTTGTCCTGGCATTTAGCAACACAAGTTTCCAATACATTTATACGTTCTTCTAAAAAAAGTTGTGTAAATAAAACACATATATTCGCTATGATTAAACTCAGTTACTCAGGTAGTCAGGTAAGACAGTTGACAATATTAACTCGATTTCATTTTGAATTTGTACATTTTAACATATGTTTAGTTGCAAACGATCCATGTGCAGTTGTGCACCGCTACTAAACGTACTTACATACCTAATCCTCAACTTAAAAAAACAAGGCATCTAGTTGGCTGATCTAAACGTTCCTTCTTAAACTTATTAATAGCTGATTCCATCTGAATTTATCAGATTTGATTTGATCCAATTAGAAATTGTTTGACAGAATTTGAATATTTCTGATCTGCATAGAATTTTTGATGTAGTCTACATGTTTCTGACTTTTCCCGGTCTGAATATATTATTTATTTCATCAGGATCTGTCTAATTTGAATATTTTCTATATGAACA